TTCTGCTTTTACAAGAGATTTGGGATGAGGGTTAGAGGGATGTTTTTGGGTAAGAGAATGTTTAGGTTCCCAACCCCCTTCTCTCTTCCCGGGACCCTCCCTTCCCACCGGTTTTAAACCCCTCTTTCTGTGGCCTGGCCTCGATAGACGCCTGGTTCCGTTCGAAGGCATCAGCTGAAAAAGCCACCTCGTCCCCAGACTTTACATCTTTGTCCCATGGACACTGCTTCATATCGGCCTTGCACACGCTTAGGAATTGCTCTTGAGTCACAAGATCCAACATCTCCTCAAAACTCGCCGCCTCCTTCCCCCTCACCCATTTTCCCAACAAATCTTTCATTGTGGTTACGTGTTCCCCACGACTCCTCCCCACATCCCTCTTCAGTTCCCATTTGTGGATTTTTGGAGTGATGGGGGTCGTTGGGGTCGGGGGTTCTGGTTCTGCTTCTCCTTCTCTAGCAGGTCCAGTTGGTGTTTTCTCTCTCTCTCTCTTTCTTCTCTCACTCTCTCTTTTTCTTCCATAGCCCTTCGGTCTGCAGCCTCCTCCTCGTCGAGCCTTGTTCCTGCCTGCCCCATTTGAAACTCGCGGTTAGTGTGACCAGATGTCCCAATTTTATAGGGACAGTCCCGATATTTGGGGCTTTGTCTTATCTAGGGGCTATTATCATCCACCCCTGTCCTGATTTTTCACCCTTGCTGTCTGGTCACCCTACCCGCGGTCCTTTTCCTTCTCTGCTTCTTCCAGTCTGACCAGCTTTTGGTTTGTAGCGGCCTCACTGGTTGTCATTTTTCTGCTTTCTCGTGCTAAGCTCCCTCACCCGAAAGAAACCAACAGAAAATCACAAACCGGTGACCTCCTCCTGACTGTTCTTAGCCACTGCACTTAAGACTCACTTAAAATCACAACTATCAGTGCTTAAAGTGTGAACTTCACTTGGAGTGCCAAGCCGCACATACACCCCGCTCGCTGCGCCACTGTGACGTTCCCCTGGTGTTATCCGGCCGGTGATCTGCTCGGTCACTCCAGCCCTCGACTCTGGGAGCCGGCCTCCCCCTGCTCCGCTGTGACACCCCCACTCCCGGGCTGTTCCCCCACAGCCTCTGGTGCGTGAGCTGCTCCCAGCTCCGGGAGTGAGCACTTTGGGCAGCCGCTGCTTGGACCGTGCAACCGACTGTCACTAGCCGATATCTCCGGTCCCAGACCCACCCCTAGGAACCGCCGTCCTGCAGTGCCCAGTTCTGCCCGCTGGACGCTGCCAGCTCCTCTGAGGTCATCTATGTCAAAGTTAGATTCAGGACTCATAGCTCTGCGAATACATTCAGCTACTGTGAGCCCCCATGCAAGATTCAAACAGTCTTATTTACACAGAGAAAAGGGTGCGAACTAAACAAAGGGACAGAGAGAGCAAAATTGTAAAATTTGCCTGGGGCACAATATGCATATCCTGCTTCCTTATTAACACTTATCGATCTAAGGTGAATGCTTCACCTATTGCCCTTAAGTGGGGCACTTCATTAAGCAGTTAATGTCTGCTTTCCTGCCCCCTGGCTTGCAGCATTTCTCATTTCTACTTAAAGGTACATACAGCATTCTTTAATTCATTCTATTTCTTTAATAGAATTCATTTCACTTTCACATCTATTTAACAAAGAAATTGACATGTACCCGGCTTGTTCTCCCCAGGGGAACCTCTGACACGCTTCACACCAAACGCGCTGCTTCCGGTAGAATAAACCAACAGAGTTATTAACTAGAACGATAGATTTAAGTGATTATAAGTCAAAACACAACAAGTCGGATTTGGTCAAATGAAATAAAAGCAAAACGCATTCTAAGCTGATCTGGACACTTTCAGCGCCCTTACAAACGTAGATGCTTCTCGCCACAGGTGGCTGGTCGCTCTTCAGCCAGGCTCTCCCCTTCGATCAGCGCTTCAGTCGCGCGGTGGTGGTGTCTGTAGATGGAGGTGGAAGAGAGAGGAAGAGCCTGGCAAATGTCTCTCCTTTTTATCATGTCCTTTCTTCCCTCTTCCCTTCAGAGTCAGGTGAGCATTACCTCATCGCAGTCCCAAACTGACCCAGGGAAGGGGGGTGACTCACTGGAGAGTCCAACACATCCTTTGTTGCTGCCTCGGCCAGTGTCCTTTGTTCCTGTGAGGCTGGGCTGGGTTGGTCCCATCCATGCCCTGATGAGGTGTGAACTGCCCCCCTGCTCCTGGAGAGTTTTTGCCTGGGCTTGTTTTAAGTGAGGACACATTTTCAGCCTCATAACTATATACATGAAATTATAACTTATAACATCCCTATAACAACCATGCTCAGTGCATCATGAGCCTTCCGAAGACACCCGACATGACAAACTTTGGAATGGATGCCACACAATGGGGGTGCTGGGTGTTTTCTCGAAGTACAAAGCATCACACACCCCATCTACCTTTCTCCCCAGTCGTCCATCCATCCATCCATCCATCCATCCATCCATCCATCCATCCATCCATCCATCCATCCA